GTCTACAGAACAAACCACTGTTATACAATGACTTGCCTAATTACCCTAACTTTACCCTAATTAACCTAGTTAACCCTTTAAATGTCTCTCTAAGCTGAATACTAGTATCTTAATAAAGAATATCTAGTCTAATAGCATGTGCTGTCATCATGGCAAAGATTAAATAAATAATTTATTAGAAATGAGTTAATAAAACTATTATGTTTACAAACATACTGAAAAAACCTTCTTCCCATTAAACTGAAATTAAGGAAAAATATAAATATACTGGGGGCTGATCAATTGGACTTCAACTGATTATATTTCATTCTTATTATTTTAAGTGTGTGTAAAAGAGTGTGTGTTTTTGCGAGCATCATACTTTCACCTAGATAACACAGCTGTTTTAGAGGAGAGAATGTTGACCTTTGACCTCGCTACCTGAGAACACTTCAGACCCAGCCGTGGAAAATACAGCTAACAGCTCTCATTCAGACTGGATGAACTGTTAGATCAGAAACTTTCAACAATCTTTATGTTTGCTGGCGTTTACACCATTGTTCTTACATTTATTATTAAAGGGATCGCTCATCCAAAATATTCACCATTTACTGCTGCAGTTTCTTTTTTCGGTTCAACACAAAACGTATACATAATGTAGAATGTTGGAGACTGGTAGCCTTTAGCATCCTTAGTTGGAAAACAAACTAAGGAAGTCAATAGCTGTAATGTTCTTTAAAATGGCGGTGGCTCAGTAGTTAGCACTGTCGCCTCACAGCAAGTGTGGCGTGGGTTTCTTCTGGGTGCTCCGGTTTCCCCCACAGTCCAAACAACTGCACTATTGGGAAATTAGGGTAAACTAGATCGGCCATAGATTGTGTGAGTGTATATATGTGAGTGTGTATGGGTGTCTCCCAGTACTGGTTTGCAGCTGGAAGGATATATACACACACACACACACACACACACACACACACACATACATACACACATACACACACACCATACACCATACAAACACACTCAAACAAGATTACATACACACAAACACACCCAAATGCACAAACAAACACACACACACACACACACACACACACACACACACACACACACACACACACACACACACACACACACACACACACACACACACAAAAAAAATACACATACAAGCAAACAAACAAACAAACAAACAAACAAACAAACAAACATGTAGACATAACGCACACAAATGCACAAACCAAACACAAACAAACAAATACACACAAAATCACACAAACACACAAATGCAATCAAAACACACACACACACACAAACAAACAAAACACACAAACAAATACACATGCACACTCTCCCGCAAATACACACCACAAAAAAACACACACAAACACACACACACAAACACACACACACACACACCCACACACACAACCAAGCAAGCAAAAACACACATGCACACACACACGCACGCACGCACGCACACACACACACACACACACACACGTATAAAATAAATTACCATTACTTGATACTGATCAATACTAATTAACATTAATCTTAAGACTTTAATATTTTTGTAACACTTTACAATAAAATTAATAAACATTTACAGTACTTACTTTTGATTAATGTGACCTTTGAAACTAATGTACTAATACATACTTTTTTGCTGACTAAGCTTCTTAATTCACAACACTAATATTAATTACTACACTCTTGGACCTTTTTACCCTATTTTAATCACACTGTACATGTATATTTCTTCTTAGTTTTTCACTTCACATAAGGGCATTTCTGTTATTATTTGCCAAACCAACAAACAAATCTATTAGTGTCCAAAGTCGGTCCTGGAGGGCCGGTGTCCTGCGGATTTTAGCTTCAACTTGCCTCAACACACCTGCATGGATGTTTCTAGAAAGCCTAGTAAGAGCTTGATTAGCTAGCCCAGGTGAGTCTGATTGGGGTTGGAACTAATCTTTGCAGGACACCGGCCCTCCAGGACCGAGAGTGGACACCCCTGGAATTAACAACTCAAAGATCCAATGCCTATTAAAGGGACACTTTATATGCTCATTACACAGAAACTCGAGTTATATTTGACCAATTTGACTCAATTCAACCGATCTCTTGAGTCTGGCAGGAGCGCTTTTAGCTAAGCATCAATCGTTGCATCAGATTAGACCATCAGCATCTTGCTCAAAAAATTCCCAAAACATTTCTATAATTTTCCTATTGAAAACTTGACTACTACATTCTTGGATCTTTTTTAATCCTATTTTATCACACTGTAAATGTATATTTCTTCATATTTCCTCTTATTTATTCACTTTACATAAGGGTATTTCTGTTAATATTTAATAAACCAACAAACAAATCTATTAGTAAACGTTGAAAGTGACATTCATATAAATAAACCGACAATGAACAATACTTCTACAGTGTTTATGTCAATTAATGTTACCAAACGAGATCCTTATTATAATATATGTTACCAAAATGTGGTCGTCTTTTTTTACCTTAAACATTGCACGACTTCTTTCTATTAACAGTCTTCAAATCTACCTGTTTTAAGACTGAAGTTTGTCTTGTCTTTGTCTGGTATTTTGTCTTTACATCTACTGGCATTCTTTTCCCTCAGTGCACAAATCACAAATACATTTCTCAGATTCCTTCCTTCATCTTGATGCAAAGTCATCTCTTGTTTTCAGCACAAAACAAGACAGCGCATCAGCTTCATGCAGAGGAGGTTAGCATGAATATATCAAGTGTATGTGACGTCTGATGAGCTCAAAGCAACAAAGAAGTTCAAGCTCAAAGATTTCCGTGCTTTTATAAAGCAACACAATAAACAGTATCTTGACAAATCAGTTTAGTTTAGCTAACTCAAAGATCCAATCCCATTTAAAGGGACACGTTATAGGCTTATTTTACAACAACACTAGAGTTAAACAGTTACGCAGTTTACCAAGTTGATTCATTTAGGCAATCTCTAGGTCTGGCAGGAGCGCTATTAGCTTAGCTTAGCATCAATCATTGAATCAGATTAGACCATTAGCATCTTGCTTAAAAATGATCAAAATATAATTTTCCTATGTAAAGCTTCACTTCTGTAGTTACATCGTGTAGTAAGACCGCTATTTTCTAGGCTGATACTAACAGAAACTATCGGCTAATTTCCGTCAACATAACCAACATTATGCCAAGCTGGCACTACTTTATACACGGTGTATGGAGTGAAACCTTATAGATTGAAAATATACACTCTTGGGCCACTTTATTAGGTACACCTGTCCAACTGCTCATTAATGCAAATTTCTAATCAACCAATCACATGGCAGCAACTCAATGCATTTAGGCATGTAGACATGGTAAAGAGGATCTGCTGCAGTTCACACTGAGCATCAGAATGGGGAAGAAAGGGGATTTTTAATTCACTTGGAATGTGGCATGGTGGTCACGCCAGACGGGCTGGCCTGAGTATTTCAGAAACTGCTGATCTACTGGGATTTTCATGCACAACCATCTCTAGAATGGTCTGAAATAGAGAAAATATCCAGTCAGCGGCAGTTCTGTAAGTGCAAATGCCTTGTTGATGCCAGAGGTCAGAGGAGAATGGCCAGACTGGTTCCAGCTGATAGAAAGGCAACAGTAACTCAAATAAGCACTCGTTACAACCGAGGTCTGCAGAAGAGCATCTCTGAACACACAACACGTCCAACCTTGAGGCGGATGGGCTACAGCAGCAGAAGAGCACACCGGGTGCCGCTCCTGTCAGCTAAGAACAGGAAACTGAGGCTACAATTCACACAGGCTCACCAAAACTGGACAATAGAAGATTGGAGAAACGTTGCCTGCTCTGATGAGTCTCCATTTCTGCTGACACATTCAGATGGTCAGGTCAGAATTTGGTGTCAACAACATGAAAGCATGGATTTATCTGGCTTTGTATTGATGGTTCAGGCTGGAGGTGGTGGTGTAATGGTGTGGGGGAGATTTTCTGCACACTTTGGGCCCATTAGTACCAATTGATCATCGTGTCAACACCACAGCCTACCTGAGTATTGTTGTTGACCATGTCCATCCCTTTATGACCACAGTGTCTCCATCTTCTGATGGCTACTTCCAGCAGGATAATGCTCCATGTCATAAAGCATGAATCATCACTGTACTCAAATGGCCTCCACAGTCACCAGACCTTAATCCAATAGAGCACCTTTGGGATGTGGTGGAATTGGCATCATGGATGTGCAGCCGACAAATCTGCAGCATCTGTGTGATGCTATCATGTCAATATGGAGCAAAATCTCTGAGGAATATTTCCAGTAGTTTGTTAAATCTATGCCATGAAGGATTAAGGCAGTTCTGAGGCAAAAGGGGGTCCAACCTGGTACAAGTAAGGTGTACCTAATAAAGTGGCCAATAAGTATAGTTCCTGGCTATATAGACCTAAAAAAAAGCTTCTTTTAATTTTGCATCAGTATTTGTACATGGTGTAACTACAGAAGAGTCGAGCTTTAAAATAGGAAAATTATAAAAACTCATTTCAGCAAGATGCTAACGGTCTAATCCGATTCAATGATCTATGCTAAGCTAGGTTAAGCTAAAAGTGCCCCCACCGCTGGTTAAATGCATTAATATGATGAACAGTTTAACTCTAGTTTTATGAAAACCTTGTGAAATAGTTTAGGAAAACAAGTAGAGTGTTCCTTTAAGCTGCATGTGTGTCAAGCTTCATGCACACTGCAAAAGAGGCAAAAATGGCCAGGTTTTATGAACGACAGAGCAGAGAAAGAATGCAAAACTGAGGATAGCTGTGGCTGTAAACCAGCAAAGACGAACAGACATGTAAGATGAAAGGATGAAGAAAAAGAGAAGCCATAAAATTGAGTTCAGGCTAAACGTATGGCTCGATAAGCAGGCCGGTTCGTCCATGCTGCATGTGCAAACAGTGAGGATGCAATAGGGTCGTGCTCACGCGGACAGGCAGCCTCGGCTTGGACCGGACGGTGAGGTATATTTACCGAGGTTGCTTTACTCTGCTGCCGTTCGGTGTTGGAAGAAGCACCTCAAGTGTCAGCAACCACTGCTCACACTGCAGGGAGACCACAAAGAGCAGTTTAATCATATGCATGCCTATCAACACACTCTAACACAGCTTCTTTCGGGGGAAGAGGCACAGACTTTTGACCTTGAAATCTGTTATAAAGCAATAAAAATGTTGCAAAACTCTCCGTGTTGAATCATATCCCTATGAAGCGAGAGACAATCTCAAATCTCAGTGGCTGGAGTTTGACCTGCAGTAATGATACAGTTTAACTCGCATCAATCTCAGAGTGCTCCAATTCAAGCCAAGAGTTAGGATAAAAAACAAAACAAAACAAAACTCACAATCCCCTTGAATATTTATAATGAAATATATGATGATTACCAGTTAATGTGCAGCAGAAATGAGTCCATCACTTATACGGTATCAACTGATTCCCAAGCAAGAGTTTACTTTAATGATTCATTCAAAAGATTCACAAACTCTAACTACTGATTTGAAACGTTGACGAATCCTTAACTAAATGAACTCCCTGAATCATTATTAGCAATTCTAAATCAATGCCTGACTTTCTTAAGTTTATGATTTATTCAAAAGATTCATAAACTTGGAAACTACCAGTTTGAATCAATGATAAATGATTCACTGAATGAACTTGCTGAAAATTTCAGTGCAATAACTGAATCAAATGCTGACTCACTACTTTAATTATTTGTATAAAAGATTCACAAACTTGGAAAAACTACCGGTTTAAACCAATGAAAAGGGAATGATACAGCTATTTCGCATTTATTTATCATTTAGTGAATCACTTTTCATCAATTCTTTTTAATCTTTTAAACAAATAATTAACTATCGAGTCAGAAGTTCATTCAATAATTGCTATGATTGAGTCATGAATCATTAAACTAAAGCGAGTCAGAAGTTGATTCAGTAATTCAACTTCTGACTCGATTTAATGATTCATTCAAAAAGATTCATTAACTTGGGAGCTACTGGTTTGAATAACTGACAAAACCTTTACTGAATGAACTTGCTGAATCATTCATAGCAATAAATGAATCAACTTCTGACTCAATTAAGTTTAATGATTCATATTAAAGATACAAACTTGGAAACTGATTGTTTGAATCAATGAAAATTGAATGATTTAGCGAGTTCAATTAGTGAATCACTCTTTATTGATTAAAAAGGTAGTTTCCAAGTTTGTGAATCTTTTAAACAAATTCTTAAACTAACAAGTCAGAAGTTGATTTAATAATTGCTATAATTGATTCAGCAAGTTCATCCAGTGAATCTTTGCAATTATTGAATCATTGACAAATCATTCATTGAACAAACTTACTAAATCATTCATCGCAATTACTGCATCAACTTCTGACTCACTTTAGTTTAATGATTCATTCAAAAGATTCACAAACTTGAAAACTACCAATTTGAAACATTGACAAAACCTTCACTGAATGAACTCGCTGGATCATTTATAGCAATTACTGAATCAACTTCTGGCTCACTTAAGTTTAATGATTCATACAAAAAAATTAACAAACTTGGTTTGAATCAATGAATATTAAATGATTTGGCGAGTTTGTGTGAATCTTTTAAACAAATAATTAAACTAATGAGTCAGAAGTTGGTTTAATAATCGCTATGAATGATTAAGCAAGTTCATCCAGTGAATCATAGCAACTGATTCACAAACATAAAAACTAGTGGTTTGAATCACTGACACATCCTTCACTGAATGAACTCACTGAATCATTCGTTGCAATTACTGAATTCACTTCTGACTCACTTTTTGAGTGCATGTTGAACTGAGGCATGTGTGTACTGATGGTCAAAACTCACAAGAATATTCAAACAAATAAACAATAAATACAGAAAAATCTCAATAACAATCTCATGGAAATTAGTAACTGTTTTACAAATTTAAGCAAATTAAAGAACATTATAATTCATATTAACTTGTACAAATCATGGTTTCAGACAACCTAGTTAACTTTAGTTAAAAGTCAGCCTTTATCCTTTTGTTTATTCCCCTAAAAATCATACATCTTTATATAAATAAGTGAATATGAATAAGTCCTTAGGTTGTCAAAATGTAAGACCATTTTCCAATTAAAATCTAATAAAACAAATCTAAAAACTACCAACACTAGATTATTAAAATAAGAATACCACAAACATATGCATTTTTAAAAATTCCAGCTCACCATAGATATAATATAAGACTGGTATATATTTTATTAGACTAGTAATTTTAATTAATATTTAAAGGGATGCTTCACCCAAAAATGAATATTCTGTCATGATTTATTCACCCTGTACTTGTTTAGAAATTAATTATTTTAATATAAAATACGGTAAACACAAAAGAAGATACTTTGAAAAATGCTGCAGCTGGCACACATTGACCTCCATATTTATAGTTTAGCTATGGAAGTCAATGGGTGCCAGCAACAAGCTTCAAATATCTTGTGCGTGTGCGTGATAAATGTTTAAAACTACGAGAGGAAATAAATGAGGTGATTTTCATTTGTGTGAACTATCCCTTCAGTAATAGTGTAAGTTTATTATTTAACATTTACTTTTTATTAATCTTTTATTTAACATTTAATTGACCTGAAATTTTAATTAAATATTAAAGGAACAGTTCACCCAAAAATTAATACTCCATCACCATTTATTTACCGTTTACGTGCCCAAAACTATAGTTTCTGTCGAACACTAAAGTAGATGCTTTGAAAAATGTCTGTAGCTGACACTCACTCACTCACTCACTCACTCACTCACTCACTCACTCACTCACTCACATGGTCATTTTATCCCACTATGGAAGTCAATAAGTGCCAGAATATTTAAAAATATCTTGCGCTTGTGTGTGTGTGTGTATTAAAAAAAGTTTAAAACCACATATGAGAGAATAAATTAGGTGATAATTATTGAACTATCCCTTTAATAATAGTGTGGCTATATTAATTAACATTGAAAATATTTCCCACCTAAAATCAGCAGAGGAAAAAAAACTACGGCTATTCCTAATAAACACTATAAGGAGCTGTTCAGCATCATTCGTTGCATCACTAATCAGTGATTGGCCCGTTTAGCGTCAGTCCGCAGACGGGATGGAGGGATACAGAGATGCACAGATGAAAAGGAGGACAGACTTACGTAGCTTTATCCTCTTTGTGCAGGAGCTTTTCAGAAGAGAGGAGACGAGCAGAGGGGGTGATGGAGAGCGCGTCTTTAAATTAGAGGATTGATGACTAAAGCGTCTGAAGACAGACGAGCGGAAGAAAAGTTGAGGAAACTTTGCCTTTGGTGGTTGTTGGGGAATGAGGAGGAGATGGAGAGACGAGCGAAGGAGCCGTCAGACGAGAGAGATAGAGAGATGGAGGATGGGAGGATGAGAGAGACAGGACAGATTATCAGATTAGTGGCTGGTAAGACTGCCTAATTGAGAGGCAAAGAGGCAGGTATAATGGCCTGGGTGGAGGAGACATTTTAGGTTGCGCTGGTCTTTAGCCACACTGATGAGTGTGTGTTTGTATGACACATCAAGATGCAAATGTGTACAATGTCATAATGACACAGGTATTACAAGGAGATTGTGAATTATGAGGACGCTGCTGATGTCTACATTTTTCAAAAAGCTTATAAATCATAAACATTGAGTATTTCATTTACTTTAAAGTAACATACTACTGTAATGGGGTAGGGTTAGGTGTAGGGTTGGGGCAATGGAAAAATACAGATTGTACAGTATATAAACATTAGACATACCTATGCAATGTCCCCACAATTCACAAACACAAAACTGTGTGTGTTTGTGTGATCTATCAGAACACAAATGTGCATAATTAAAGGAGACAAGGAGATTACAAGGACATTGCTGATGTCCCAATTGCTCAAAAAGCTTAAAAATCATACAGAATGAGTATTTCACTTTAGTTTACAGCACTTTACTACGGTAATGAGGTAAAAGAGTTAGGTGTAGGATAATAGAAAAATACAGTTTGTACTGTATAAAAACAATAGAAACCTATGGAATGTCCCCACAGTTCACAAAAACAAAACTGTGTCTCTGTTTGACATATCAAGATGCAAATGTGTATTATTTTATTGGTTTGGCACAGGTATTACAAGGATATGGTGAATTATGAGGACATTGCTGAAGTCACAGTTGTTCAAAAAGCTTATAAAACATACAGAATGAGTATTTCACTTTACTTTAAAGTAACATAAAAAATACAGATTGCACAGTGTAAAAACATTAGATATACCTATGGAATGTCCTCATAATTCACAAAAACAAAACTGTGTTTGTGTGACATATTAGGACACAAATGTGCATAATTTTATTGGTATGACAGGTATTACAAGGAGATTATAAGGACATTTCTCATGTCCCAATTGGTCAAAAAGCTTATGAATCATACAGAGTGAGCATTTCACTTTAGTTTACAGCACTTTACTACTGTTATCGGGTAGAAGAGTTAGGTGTAGGGTAATAGAAAAATAGACTGTACTGTATAAAAACAATAGAAACCTATGGAATGTCCCCACAATTCACAAAAACAAAACTTTGTCTGCAAATGTGTATTATTTCATTGGTTTGGCACAGGAATAACAAGGAGATGGTGAGTTATGAGGACATTGCTGAAGTCAAAGTTGTTTAAAAAGCTTAATAATACAGATTGAGCTTTTCACTTTGGTTTACAGCACTTTACAACTGTAAAGGGCCGGGGTTAGGTGTAGGCAGGGCTTAATTTGTGCTGGAACACACAGGATTTGGATCCGGCACCTCTGAAATCTGATCTGGCACCTCATTTTGCTGATTCCCCACCTCAACTGCCCCCCTCCCCCGTCCGCTGTTCACTTTCACTTTCTTTCCCGACTCCCCAACCCTCTTCAATTTCGTCCGTGATAACCAACCCCCAGCCCTTAACTTACATCCACGACACCCCCCACCATCCAACGCCCACTAGCTTCCCTTTACATCCTAGGGTAACATGCCGAATCCATTACCCCGATCTGTTCCGGGACCT